CCCCCCCCTCCCCAATTGCCTGGACTGCTTCAGTCTTCAACTTGTTCTGTCTTTAAAAGGATATGGCTTAGATATAAATATTTCAAAAATCGGCAGAGAAAAGAATTTAGGGAGCAGGCAATGAGGCACTCCAGCGTGAAGAATGATTGGAAAAAAATAAGATTGTCTCAAAGAGGATAGGCGTAACCTATAAAAGGATGTTATCTAAAATGATTTGTACTACAATGAATCATAGAATCATTTAGGTTGGAAAAGACCTTTGAGATCATCAAGTCCAACTGTTAACCTAACACTGCCAAGTCCTACTAAAACACATCCCTAAGCACCACATCTACATGTCTTTTAAATGCCTCCAGAGATAGCGACTCAACCACTTCCCTGGGCAGCTTGTTCCAATGCTTGATAACACTTTCAGTGAAGAATTTTTTCCTAATATTCAATATAAACCTCCTGTGGCACAACTCGTGGCCATTAAAAACTTGTATTTGTTCAGTTTTGCAGTTTGCACATTTGGTTATAGGCTATAAAGACAGGAAATTTTTTATAACAAATACAATTAGATTGTAGAATACACTGACACAAGATATTTTTGAGGCCAGGAATTCAGCAGAATTTAGAAAGGAAGTAGATGTTTTCAAGCAGAATGAGAAAACACAGAATTATGTTGTCACATATAAAAGCATAGGGAAAAAAAAAAGAGCACAGCATTTGTAGGAATATGAACTATCCTACTTCAGAGTGAAGCCAATTATCTGACTAATGGGGTTTTGGAAAACATTTTTCCTAACATGATGTCTATTCCATAACTGCTTGCTTTAGGGTTTCTGGCACTTACCAGTGAGGTATCTTGGTCTAGGCCACTGTTGGACAGGAGAAATGGAATTTGATAGACCCCCTGTGATCATTAGGTTTAAGAACACAGTTCCTGCACTTTTAAAACTAGCATCAAGATCTCTCTTTTCACAACCAATCCTTTATTATCAGCCAGGCAGTTTCATTGGTGTTCAAAAGCCAAATCTAACTCTTCCTCTTCCATATTGCTGGCCAACTGAGTGGGTAGGAGCCTTCACAGGTTGTACACTGTTTCTTTTTTGTTGTTTAAACCATTTCTGTAAACCACAATTTATTCTTGATCATTGTGCACTCACTGGAGCACTCATTCACAGGAGGTCTTTAATGTCCATTTTATACTACATTCTAATACCTCTCTGGGACTTTTTTTTTTTTCTTGTCACTGTTTGGTCTCTATGGGTTGGACTTTGTTATATTCTTTAAATCAGCTAAGGGAATCCTTTTGGACACCGAGCCCATTTGTGGTTTTAATAATCATAAGTTTCAGTAGTAGTGGCGCCTGACTGTTAACAACTCAAAGAAAACTATATAAAAACAAGATGTCGTTTCTGGAGCCATTTATAGACTTCCCTGTTTACTATTATTCCTCTTTGGGCTCACCAGAGCTGGGATTAGGTGATAAAACAGATCAGCTGCAGCACTCACCTGTTCTCTCACACTCATGACCTGAAAAGGGAGAAATGCCGCCAGCCTGGTCATGGGTATTGTTTGTTTTCCCATATTGATTTTAGAACCCTACACTAGTGCATTTGAATAAATTAAGAGGGCTTTTCTGGGTCACTGGAAAACATCTGCAGGTTTAATAGCTGCCCCAAGAGGGGCAAATCTAGCAGAAGCTTAATGTTCTTTTGGAACCAGCTGGAAGAATGACGGTGGAAAAAACCGTATTTTTCTCTGTCACAGCCCCTTGGTAGATTATCAGAGGTCTCACTTCCGGGCAAGCCTATGGAGTACACTTCTAGGGTCATGATCTACCCTGGGAAACACGGTGGTGCTTACATCTCAACTAAAATTGCTGAGTTTTGTCTACCAGGGACATTTGGGTATGCAAATCAGTCTTTCAAGAAGGATCAGTTAGACTACTCTGATACATTTTGTGCACACCGTCTTTCAGATTTAAAGTGACCTTGATTTGATTTAACAATTCACTTCAAAGTGTGGTTTAAGCAGTGTTTCAGAAATCATATCTTTAGGTGAATTGGGCTAATTTACTTACATAAGAGTCCATGTGACCACAAGTTTGAAAATAGTGCTATAATTTAAATTATGTCATGAAAGAAAAGGTCTTTATTAGGTTTTGATGCATAGACTGAAAAACTCCTTGCTGTGTCAGTTTTAAAAGTGTTTCTCAGCAATTTAGCTTAAAACAGATTTCAGTTTTCCTCCATTCCCACATACTTTGCCCCACTATGTTAATTGCTTAGCTTACTCTTTGCTGGTTTTATGTTCATCTTCCTCAATGATACTACCAACGTTGAGCTGAAATATTTTCCTGTTATTAGCCAAAGTTTTCCTGAGAAACAACTCCTCTTTCAGAGAGAGTATTATATAGAATAATAAACAGGACTAGATATCAAGCAAAAAATTCCAGAGGAAATGCCTTGTTTTAAACAGACTTGAGTTATTTTGTCTGGCTTCTATTACTTTTTCTTGGAATGAAATATTTTATTTGCTTAGAATTTTAACAATTATTGCTGAAGTAGTTACAGTAAAGCCTAGACATGTTGGAGGAAACTTAACATTTCTATTTTTTTTTTCTTCAGGTGACAGTTAGAACTCCTATTGCTTTAAGCATTACAACTACAATGTACAAAGTCTTCAGTCCAGTTCCATCTGGCTTCTATGAAATTAATGTAAACCAGTTTTACTAGGAAACTGTCTCTAGCCTTTCTTGTTCATCTTTGGAGCGTCCAAAGCCTTGTCTTATTTTAAAGCACTTACCTAAGAGCCTGTCTTGCACAGGAGTTAGCTTTTGGGGGTTTGGTGGTGCTGTATCTTTTCTGAGGCTTCCCACACATTTGCCAGCTGAGCTTTACCTAGTACATAATAACTAATAAAATTGCAGGTGTGATAACAAAATGTGTTTATCTTAAGACACTTGAAAAAAAAGATTGTACTGGGAGTAGAAAAACATTGACTTAAACAACTGTCAATCTTTATTGATAATCTATTACTTTGGGCACCATAGCAGAGATAAGTTTTGAGGAGACATCTGAAGAAACGGAAGATAAGAGCTTCACATGCTATTATTTATGTAAATTATTGGAAGTCTTGTAAGTGAAATTAGAATTCTATTATGCAATACATTTTAAAAATCAGTGGCGCTGAAGCTGGATGATTAATTTATGAGTTAGTTGCAAACCCATAAAAACCTCCCATTAAATTTCTGATTTAATAATTATTTTTACGATTTTTGACCAAACTCTCTGAACACATGCACTACAAAACAAGATTATCTTAAATAAAAAGGTCAGCCAAAATCACAATGAAATTATGTGATGAAATCTGTACTTTCAAATGGTTGATTCCTTGGGAGACATTCACGGAGAAAGATCCAGTATTTCTACTGCTTATCCTAATCTGAGCCTTCTCAAACTGAATGAACTGTTTACCTATTGACATGCAGCACAGTGCAAGTAAACCAATCATTTTTCTCTAATAATGCAGTGTTAATAGTAGTTTACCTCCTCAGGTAAAACCTAGAGAAACAGGTAGGACTTACATTGTTCTTTAGTATCAACAGACTTTAGAGAAATAAGATTCATAAAGTTTCTCACTCCTAACATCTGCCACAAGATAAAGCCTGGAAAAAACTGTGTGATAGGACACGATGACAGCAGCAGTGTCTTAAGTAGCCCGCATTTGTACCATTAAAGGGCTTAAATTTGACACCTATAATTGTACCTGGAAGTCTTAAGTCAAGAATATACTTAACTGTAAGATGTCATAAGCATGCAGGAAACTGTGCTGTGAACATGATGCCATCATAATTTAGTTTAGCTGCATTTTAATTTGGATTGCTGAGATTTTATTTTACCCCTTGAACTGGTGGACAGAAAGAAAGTAAGTAGAGATCTGATCTAATTTTGAGGTCTCTCTATACTGATGAACTTTATGTTCACCTGAGGATTTAGGTCTGATCAAGCTCCCAGATCCTTGTATTTTAAATATAAGTTGTTAGGGAAAAAAAAAAAAATCACACAAAAAAACCCCAAACCAAACAACCAACCTTGAAACATTCTTCTACTCCTCAGTTGTAGGAGTGCTTCAAAGTTCTGGGTGATCTGCTTATGAGAAGAGGGAATATTATTATGACAGGTTCTGTGGCTTATGCAGGCCACATCGTAATTTAAAAACCAGAGGTAGCTGTGAGTTGTATGATAGATTCCTGGCACATATTAAATGCACTGTCCAAATTCTGGTTGCTTTTGAGCTTAGTGTTAGCAAGCAAAGTTGGCTTTTTTGTAACAGCAAACTGTTGAAAGGATCTCCTTCAGTTTTTGTTCCCATTATCTCGTCAGGAAGGAAAGGACAACATCTTTAAAAGTACTTAAGTACCAAGAAAGTGACCCTTCTCTGCTGGAATGCTGCCCCACTAATGATGCAGAGAAGAAAAACAGCCATTTCTGGCAGAGTTTGCAGGGTCTCTCATGCCAAACAAAAAAGTCTAAAATGCCTGGTAAAAATAAATATCACTATGAAATTCTGGCATGGAAAGCATTTCTGACAGCCAAAGCTTAGCTCATCCTGGGGGGTAACCCAAGAAGGCCTTCAGTTTTCATTCTTCATTCCTACTCATCGAACGTTCCTTACAAACTTAAACTGCCAGACTA